CGGCGGCAGCGGCGCCGGCGTGGGTGGGTGCCGCACTCGCACCGCGCTGCTGCCAAGGCAGGCCGGCCCAGCCCCGCAGGCAGGCAGGCAGGCAGGCCGCACCAGAGATGAGTCGGATGCAGGGCAGGCAGTCGGCGGAGGCATTCTGCTCCGCGGTGAAAGCGGCGGCCGCCGCCTCGGCCTCCTCGCTGCCTTCGCCACGCGCCGCGGTGGGGTTGGGCTTGGCGAATGGCGCGCCACGGGCCGCCTGCTGCTTGAGCTTTATCCAGTACAGCAGGCACCTGCGCGGCAGCCGCCGGGCAGGCACGTGGATCGAGGCAGGCGAGCGGCAGACGGCGGCTGGCGCTGGAGGGGAGTGAAGCCGCCCCTTGCCCAAGCTCACCCACCCACCCCGCAGCTGCCCCACACCACACCTCGCCACGACACCACGCAACCACACACACACATGCACACACACACACACACACACACGCGCGCGCGCACACACACCGCCCCCCCCCCACCTCGTGAGGTAGCAGGAGAAGTCTGCGGCCCAGAGCGCCCAGTAGCGGGCGGGCAGCGCCCTGAGGACCCCGCTCCGCACCTCGGCGCTCCCTCCGGCGGCGCCCTGCGAGCGAGGAGGTGGTGGTGGGGCTGGGGTTGGGGGCTGGGCGGGGGCCGGGGGCTGGGTCAAAGCAGCCCAGAGGGCGGGGCAGGGCGAGCCGGGGAGAGCAGCGGGCACCCGGGGCCCGCAGCACGCTGCAGGCCGCCCTCACGCACGCCGTCGCGGCGGCGCGGCACGGCAGCGCAGCTGCCCTGGCAGCCGCCCCCTGCAGCCCCGCTCCTGGTGGGTGACCCCCACACGCCTCGCCGCATGCGCCGCAGTATGCACTTGCTCCCCCTCACAGGGCGCAGCAGGCAGGCAGGCAGGCAGGCAGGCAGCGCGTGCCTTGGCGTTGGTGGCAGCCCTCACGGCGCGGTCTGACAGGTGTTGCTCAAAGATATCAGCAGCCACAGCCATCCACTCGCGGGCAGCGGCGTCGGCGCGCACCGCGGCGGCGTTGACGTCGGCGGCGGCGGCAGGGTGTGCGGCCGCCGCCGCCGCCAGCAGCGCGCACTTGAGGCGGCTCCAGGCGGCGGCATATTGCAGCCTGCACGGCATTGTGGCAGCGTGGTGAGCGTTGTGAGCGTTGTGAGCGTGTGGTGTAATGCAGAGCGGCGTTGTGAGGTGTGGCGTGGTGTGGTGCGGTGCGGTGTGTGTGTTGGTGCACGTGTATGCATATGTGAGTAGGGCAGCGTCGAACACAGCAAGCGCGGGCCGCTGCCCCAGTAACCGCCCGCCTGCCGCCCCGGGCGCCGTGTACCGCCTCCTGCTGACCTGGCATCCTGCCGTACCGCCTCCACCGCCCCGTCCACAAACCCCTGCGTGGCCTGCAGCCCGCGGTGGCCCCACCGGCGGCAGGGCGGCCGCAACCGCGGCGCACAGGTCCCAGGAGGCGCCGCCGGCAGAGGTGCCGGCCACCAGCGAGGCGCAGCACCTGCGCAGGGGCCAGGAGGGTTTGGGTTTAGGGTAGGGTTGTGGCGTTGAGGGTGTGCAAGGCACGGGGTGCGAGGGCGCGGCTCGGTATGAAAGCAGTGCGTCGCCGCGCCGCATCTGGGGCTCTCACAGGCGCGGGCGTGGCGCGCCCCCAAGCTGCCTGGGCAACCACACAGCGCAAGCGCAGGCCCTCCCAGCACCAGCCACGCACGCGCCCACCCGGCCCACACCTCACCCCTCACACCCACCTCTTGCCAAGCTCCAACATGAAAGGCTCCACTTGGTCGGCCCCCCCAGGCAGCTGCACCAGCGGCAGCAGCAGCAGCGCGGAGCTGCCGGGCGACGCCACCGCAGCAAAGAGCGTGTTGGGAGAGACGGCCAGGCCCGGCGCGGCGGCGGAGGAGGTGGCTGCGAGCGAGGGCCCAACGGCGGCGCGCGGCAGCGGCGCCGGCGCCGGCGGCCGGCTGTGCACCAGGCTGCTGCTGCCGCCGCTGCCGCCGCTGCTGGCCAGCAGGCAGAGCAGCTGGTCCGGGCCGGGCAGCAGCAGGGCGAGGCTCCCGCCAATGGGGGCTGCTGCTGCTGCAGCGGCTGGCAGCTGCATGGGGCTGAGCCTCTCGGACGGTCCCGCCTGCAGCTGCCAGGTATGCAGGCCCAGGATGCAGCGGGCGCTGCCCACGCAGGTGAAGAGGCAGGCGGTGGTACCGCCACCATCGCCGCCGGTACTGGACGCAACCAGCAGCCTGCTGCCGCCGCCGCCGTCGGCGCCTGGCAGGAAGGCCAGGGCGAGGGTGGCGGCGCCGGGGGCGACCGCCGACTGAGGGAAGCTGAGGCGAGCCACCTGCTGCTGCTGCTGCCCGCCGCCGGCGGCCGCCAGCAGCGGCGGCGGCGGCCCCGCCACCTCGAAAAGAAGCAGCTGCTGGGGCTGGGGCTGGGGCTTCTGGGCAGGCGGTGGCGCAGAGCCCGCTGCCGCTGGTGCCGCTGCCGACGCTGCCACCAGCAGGCCGCCGCTGGAGGCAGGCGTTACATCAGCCATCAGCAGCAGCTGCTGCGGCTGCTGCACAGCGCCGCCACCCAGGTCGAAACCTTCCGCCGAGAGCGCCGACGGCGGCGGAGGCGGCAGCGGCAGCGCCACCGCAGGCGCCAGCGCCCAGCCGGCGCCGCCCATGCCGCGCGCGCTGCACGCCAGCAGCAGCTGCCCGGTGCAGGTGACAGCGGCGAAGCACAGCAGGCCGGGGCGCAGCCAGTGCAGCGGCAGCGGGGGGCGGCCGGGCGACGGCGGCGCCGCGCCGCCGCCCGCGGGCGCCGCATCTGCCAGAGCAAAGGCTTGCTCCAAGCCCCGCTGCTCGTAATGAGCTGCAATCTGCGCAGCTGACAGAGGCCTGCAGGCAGAGAGAGAGAGGAGAGGAGAGGCGCAGGCGGCAGGGTGAGGCGGGCATGCAGGGAGGTAGATTGCTGTGGCGTGCTGTATGTATGTATACGTATGTGCGTGTGGTGGTGGTGGTACGGTGGATGGGGTGGGTCCCCACACGTGCATCCCAAGCAACAGGCGCATGGAGCCTCCTCTCCCAAGCAGCGCCCGCCCGCCTGCTGAGCCTGCAGCCCCGGCAGCAGCTGGGCTGGTCACCTGTCGGCGCAGGGCGGCGCCCCCGCCGCATCCCACGGCGCCGCCGCCGAGGGCCCTTCGAGAAAGCGGCAGCACAGCAGGCGCCGCGGCGGGCGCCGCCAGCCTGCATCCTCCTGCGCTGCAGCGGCGGCGGCTGCGGCGACAGGCGGCGGCGGCTGCTCCGGCTGCGGCTGCGGCAGCGGCAGCTGGAAAGCCAGCCTCCCGTACCATCGATTGATACAGGCCACCTGGCTGCTGCCACCGCCACCGCTGTCGCCGCTGCCGCCGCCATTCTCTCCCGGCGGCCGCAGAGGCGCAGCTGCAGGGTCCTCCATCGTCCAACTGTAAGCGGCGCCGCTGGCGGTGACAGCCAGCAGCAGGCGGCGGCAGGCGGCGGGAGACCAGAGCAGCGCTGCCAGGCCCTCGCCTGCCGCGCCGCCGCCGCCGGCAGGCACGTGCGCCACAAAGTGCGTCTGCAGTGTGCGGTGGCGCACAAGCAGGGGGCAGGCAGGAGGCAGGCCAGGTTGGGAGTGGGCTTAATGAGCGGGCTGCCGGGCCGAGATAGGAGCAGTGAGGTGCCGGGTCGGCCGCGGAAGGCCTCCCAGCCCCGCCTGATACCCATCAGAATGCTGCAGGCGGTGCTGAGGCAGCCAGGAACGCAACACACCTCTGAAGCCTGCGGGTCGATGATCGCAACAGACGCCGCGGTGCCATCGCTGCTGCTGTGGCTGTTGCTGCTGCTGCCGCCGCTGCTGCTGGCGGGCTGCAGCTCCACAGCCAGCAGGCCGCTGGCACGGTCCCACGCCACGCAGCCGCCCAGCAGCTGGCGCCCACCAAACTGCAGCCGCACGCTGCCGGCTTCGGCGGCGGCGGCGGCGGCAGGAGCGCCGCCGGCGCCTGTGGCAGCGCCGGGGCTACGAAGCACCTCCATGGCTGCGCTGTCTGGCGCCGCTACGGCAGCCCAGAGGGCGGCAGGAGCTGCACAAACTCTTAAACGCTGTGGTACTGGGGCGCCTGTGAGCGGCAGCACCCTGGCAAGGGGCACAGCGCTGCCGAAGGCATGCGGGGAGCAGGGGCACAGACGGGGCAGCCATGCATGCACCTCCAGCTCCGGCACACTGCCAACTCGGACGCAGCACACGTGCTTTGCCCTCCCGGTGACTCCCGATCGTTTCATATGTTGCTACAGTTGATCCGTAAGTCTCGCTGCTGTCTGGCCTCGTGTCCTCGCGATGCCAGTGGCGGCGTTTGCTGCGGGCGCGGCGATCGCACTGCTGGCGCTGCGCTTGTTGCTGGCGGTGATCAACTACGTCGCAACCAAGAGGAGGCGACACATCAGCACCATGATTGTGCTCGGCTCGGGTGCGCACCGAGGGAGCCGCCTCCCTCTTCGCTGCAGAGTCTGCACCCGCTGCATTTGGCGCTCTGGCGGGGGCTGGGTTAGATGTGCTCTGCGCGGGAATTGTGCGGACACCGCAGCTGCCGCCTGTGCCCGCCACTCCCTCCGCCAAACCGCGTGGTGAAAGCGGTAAGCTGTGCTTGCCTCGCCTCTAACCCGCCTGCCTGCTTCTGGCTGGT